TGAACTGTCGTCTACCACACTGCTCCCCCACCGTTACCACCAGCTCCGAGGCACAGCCATGCCCCAGTCCTCCAGACACAGACACACACATGCGCACACACCCATACACGCACACACACTTCATGCACCGAAAACTTGTCTGACAGACTATACCAGCTGTTCCCAGCCCCCGTCTAGCAACAGTTGAGCATACGGGGATAGCCCTCTCAATCGGTCTCTCTGGCAACCCAGGACTAAAAGGGGTACTACCAGGAGGGGCCTATGAACAGGAGCTGAAGCCAGCTGAAGCCACACTGGGCCAGGCCACAAAGTCAAGGAAAAGATAAAACAGAGGCAAGATCAAAAGTACAGAAAATGAAACCACCATCCAGGAAAAAAAACAGGAGGGGCCAGGCGACAGGCCAGCTTCCCAGACTAGCTGTCCCAGAACACCCCCCCCCCTCGGCAATTCTTCAGTGAATAAGTCTCATTTCTCTTACTCTGAAATCTCCTTTGGGGGGCCTGCAGGACGGTGAGATTGGTTCGGAAGGGAAAGCACTGGCTACAAGCCGAATGAACTCAGTTCAATCCCTGGTACCCACACAGCAGAAAGAGAAACAACTCCCCACAGCACCAGCACGTGGGAGTGCGCACAGGCACACACATGCGTGCAAGCACACACACACAAATAAATACAAAATTAATAAGCAGATGTTAACTGAAGCCTCGCTTTACTTAACTGAATGAGGCAAAACTTTCTCAAAGAAGCCAGACACAGTGGAGCTATGGAGATGGTTCCCTTGGCAAATGACCTGCCACAACAAACACGAGGACCTGAGTTCAGCACCCGTGTCAAAAAGCAGCCCGTGCCTGGAACTGCAGCACTAGAGAGGTAGCCAGGAGGACCGTGGGGCTGGAGAGTTAGCCAGCCTCATTGAGTCAGCGAGGCCCAGGTTAAGCGAGATACCCTGTCTCAGAAAATAAGGTGAAGGGCCAGCAAGATGGCACAGAGGGCAAAGGCGTTTGCCACCAAGTCCACCAACCTGACTTTAATCTCTGGAATCCACATGGCAGAATAAGAGAAGAGCTCCGGGCAAGCTGTCCTCTGACCTCCATAAGTAGCCATGCATACACACCCACGCACAACCACAGAAACACAAAATAAATAAAGCATTGATTGAGGAAGACAGTTAACCTTTAGCTTCTACACACGCATGTCCACCCAAATGCACACACAGTCACACACGTACACACACACAAATGCACGTGCACACACACGCACACACTTATGCACAAATGCCAATCATGGTGTTACATGTAACCCCAGTACTTGGAAAGGACAATCAGGCTAGCCTCTACTATGCAGCAAATTTGAGGCCAACCTGTACTACATGAGATCCTGTCTCAAAACAACAAAGACTCCTAACAACGGGGCATCCAAGGGGGCTGGGCCTCTTCCAATTCTGTGTCCCTTCCGTGACAGCTGGGTTCAACAAACCATGCCCATACTTATTGCTTATAAAGAGAATTGAGGTGACCTTAGTGGAGGCATTTAAAATCTGGATCTGGTCAGCTGACAATCAGCTGAGAGAGAGAGAGAGAGAGAGAGAGAGAGAGAGAGCGAGCTAGCCAGTCAGACAGACAGACAGAGACACAGAGGGGAGCCAGTCTCATGGAAGGCAATTGTATAGGCTCCAAAAGCCAGATAGTGTTTAGACTTTGTACTGACAAAGGGTGTGGAGGTGTCGGCACAACTGTAATCACGCTTTAGAGACACAGACCTGGGAGCAGGGTAAAATGACTTTGCGGAAGATGGTGTGTCCTGTAGGCACACAGTAAGTGCTTAACCAGTGCACGGACAAAGCACACAGTGGTGCATACCTGTCATCCCAGAACTCCAGAAGTGGAGGCAGGAAGGTTAGCCTTGGCTACATAGTGACTTTGAGGCCAGTCTGAGCTACATGGAACCTTGCCTTGAAACAAACAAACAAACCCAGAGCCGGTGCTGTGGCTCACTTGGTGAAGTGCTGAACCAGGATGTATGAAGCCCAAGTCTATCCCCAACACCATATAAACCTGGAGGAGGGTGGTACAGCTGTCACCTCAGCTGCTGGGAAATGCAGGCAGGAGGAGCAGAGCGCAGAAGTTCAAGGCTGGGGCTATATAAGTCTAAGGCAAGTCTGGGATACATGAGATTTCATCTCCTATAAGCAAAGCAGGGGCTAAAGCAACAGCTCAGGGATCCGAAGTTGTTATTGCTGCTTCAGAGGGCCCAGGTTCATTCCCAGCACCCACATCAGGCAGCTCACAACAGTCTGTAACTCCATCTCCAGAGGATCCCATCCCCTCTCCTGGCTTCCATGCTGTACCTGCACACACATGGCATATGGTCCCACAGATACACATGAATAAAGATAAATGTAAATCTTCCAAATAATGCAAAAACCAACAACTGAATGTATGTTCATACAAAAGGCAGAACCACTGACCATGGTAACACATGCCTTTAGTCCCAGCAGTCAGCAAGCAGAGGCAGGCAGGTATCTGTGCATTCAAGGCCAGCCTGGGCTACCTAAGCAAGTTCCAAGCCAGCCTGGGCTACCCAGTTGAGACCCTGCCTCAAAAGGGAGTGGGAGTGTAGGACCAAATCTTCCTGGCTCAGAGGAAGCACTTAATATGTGTTTTTAAAAAACCTGTATGAAGGCCTAAATTCTGCTACAGGGCGGCAGAGTTGTCTCTCTGGGGAAAGTTGTGCAGCTGCAGGACCAGAGAGGGGCTGGAAATCACACGGGGTTTGTTTCCAGGTGAAGACAGGGAAGACTTAGGGCTAAGAGGATTTTTATAATGCATTGCCATCGGTGAAGGAAAGCAGGAAGTCGGAAGAAGAGAGGCAGAAAGAACAGGCCCTGGAGCGGGTCTAAAAGGCTAAGCTGTGTGAAGGTAGAGTGGCCAGAGTAGGGGAGAAGTCTCTTCTGCCCCAGGCTGAGGGCCATTTCCTGTAGCAAAAAACTCTTCAACTGGGACTGTAGTTCAATGGTGGCCCTCTTGTCAAGAATCCGCCCCAGGGGCGTGGCTCAGTGGTAGAGCCCCTGCCTAGAATCCCCCAGTGAGGGGCTGGGGTGTGGCTCAGTATTTAAAGCACCTGCCTAGAATCCCCCAGCAAGAGGATAGGGGCATGGCCCAGGCAGAGAATGCATGAGGTCCTAGGTTCAATTCCCCATGCCACCAAATATACAAATAAGTAAAATCACAAAAGTTCTGTCCTAGGAAATATGATTCTCTCAAAAATCCTAAAAGGCAAATACCCTCAGTATACCCATTTTACTGATGGGGAAATGGAGACAGAGAGGTATATGATCTTGTCCAGAACCACACAGCTATGCAAGTAGCAGAGCGAGGATTTGAACTCACGATATCAAGCTCCAGCCCAGCATCTGAACTCTCAGCTACCCAAGCACACAGCAGCTCCTGCTCCTTGTGATGTGTTTTCCTGAGGAAATTTGGGGATTTGGGCACTGCTGAGACCCATGTGTCCTGTGTTAAGTGGGCACCTACTGTATGAAGGAAGAGAACTAGCAAACTAGCCTTGAACTTCACGCCCCACTAACCTAAATCTTTCTCTGTGCATCTAAGCCAGAATGCCTCCTATCCGGAAGCTCTTGTGGGAACCATCCATCTCCTATGCAAAAAGCACCCTTGGGCAGAGCACTGGGCTCAACCACCCTTCAGGGTCTGCCCCACCCTTCAGCTGTGCCACGTCTGTGTTCCAGCTTCTCCACAGACGGGGCATCAGGCTGGGCTGGACTGTGCAGAGCGGTTCCGGTTCTGGTGTACCTGCCAGCCCCTGGTGGTGCCAATCCAGGTGACAGCAGCCTTATGAATGAAGGGCTCATTGTTTACATTACAACTGATGGAGAGGAGGCCTCTGGCTCACAGCGGAGCTAAGGTAGCCCCACGTGGTGTTCTCTACCTCCTCAGAGCACAGCCCTAGGCCAGCCCCACCCCCACCATCCTCTGTCTGGGCACCTTTCAAGATTAAGGCCAATTCCCTCTCTAGTTCTACCCCCCCCACTCCCCCACCCCCACCATTTGTAGCCCAGAAGACAGGAGTGGAATCTCAGAGACTGGATGCATTCCTGTGTTGTGACTCCTCTACCCCTAAGGTGTTCCTTTGCAGCGACCTTTCCTGGCTTGGGCCAGGCTGTAGAGGAGGCACGCGTGGCAAAGCCCAGTGTGTCCGGGACAAACACACACAGGCCCCGCCTGGAGTCCACGCGGGCTGGCTCTGGAGGCTCAGCCCTGAATCCTGCGTCGCCACTGCCCCTCCCTGGGGGGAGGGAAAAAATCTGCTGCCTCACCAGCCACCAGCGCCAGCTTGGGGGGAGCACCCCTGTGGAAAGCCACCCTGCCTGGGCCTCCCACTTACCCTACCCTCCTATTCCAAGCCAGACTCTCCAATCAAGTTTTGCTAAGGGCACGAATCAGGCGACCCCAGGTGGTGGGGCGGGGGCCTCCGTGTCTCATCCCAGATGCCAGGTCTGGGGATGAAGACTGATGGCCGCGCCCACCAGGCTGTGAGCCCCTCACCCCGAGTCTGAGAGCTTCCAAGAGCTTTGCAGCTCGTCCAGCTGTCTGAACTTGCTCTTGGAAAGAGGACCCCAACAAATAAGCCCGAGCCCCAGTCTGTGGATGTGGGCACCATCCGGGAGTGCAATCCAGGGGCGTCCTCCAACCCCAGCAGCGCGCCCTCCAGGTTGAGGAAGTTGGGGTTCATACCGCCCACGCCCACCAACGGCTGCGATCCTGCCCGCTGTCCCTGCCCAAGCAACGACAATGCCTCGGTGATAGTTCCCCCCTTTTCTTCCCAGGCTAGGGTGCCGCCGCCCCCCGCGACTCTGCGTCCTTTGTTGCCCGCGCGCCCCCATCGCGCGCGTCCCCAGAGCTGCGCCTACCTTGGAGCTCCAGCAGCGACAGGGACCCGACACCCCTTTGCCTCCTCTCGGTCCGTCCTGGAAACGAGGATGCTGCGCCCTTCCCCGCACGCCGCTATCCTAAACCGGTCTCCGCGCTCCCGAGTCCGGGCCTCGCACACGATCTACGACCAGAAGACAGAGGGAGGGGCGGATCCAGTAAGCCGGGCTTCTGCCTGCGCTCCCGAGGCGGAGCCGAGTCGAGCCGAGCCGAGCCAGAAGGAGCCGAGTCGAGGGGAGCCAAGCCGGGAAGAGCCGAGCCCAACGGGGCGGAGGCGAGAGGAGCCGAGCTCCGTGGAGCCCTGCCAAGGCGAGCCGAGCTCAGCCGAATGGAGCCGAGCGCCAGGAGAGCTCAGCGGCCGGAGAGCGAACAAAAGGGGCCGGCGCAGCGGCCGGCGCAGGAAGGTGGGGCCCGGAGCTACCGGAGAGGGAGAGGGCGCGGGTAACCGGAGGGGAGGGGTGGTGTTGGGGGCGGAGCCCGCATTCGTGGTCTCACGGTTCTCCGACATTAGTGACGCTCAGAAACTTGGGAGCGGGAGGGCAAGAAGTCTTTGGAACCTCATCTTCCCCACGCTGTCCACCTACAGCTGACTTGGACCTTGGAAATAGAGTTCATCCACCCCGCGCTTCAGCTCTAGGCACATATGTGTGTTCCATTTTCTGTTTCAGCCATGCGAGGTTTATGTGAATGTTCCATATTAGGAAGCTTGAGATTGCAAGGGGGCGGAGCGGCGATCTGGAAGGCTTCAAGGAAGAGTTGAGTTAGGGACTGTGTTGAAAGAGGCCAGGAGGGGGTGGGAGGAATAATGTAACTGAAGTGAGAACTTCAGTGTTGAAATAGGACCCAAATCATGGAAGAGTGAAAAGAATCTACCTCCTGAGTTGGGTCCTGGCTCAGTGGTAGAGCCCCTGCCTAGAATCCCCCAGTGAGGGGCTGGGGTGTGGCTCAGTGGTAGAGCCTCTGCCTAGAATCCCCCAGTGAGGGGCTGGGGTGTGGCTCAGTGGTAGAGCATTTGCTTAGCATTAATGAGGCTCTTGGTTCCATCTCCACCAACAGAAAAAAATAATTAGCTTTTTTTAAAGTGCCTTTTTTTAGAATATATATTTATTATATATTACTTGATCATTTTCATGTACATACATATTAGCCATAATCAAAAGTGCCTTTTTTTTAAGTGCCTTTAATCCCAGCACTTGAGACAGATCTGTATTAGCTCAAGGCTAGCCTGGTATACATAGAGAGTTCCAGGCCAGTCAGGGCTATATATGAGACGCTGTCTCAAAGAGAAGGAAAATTAATACCACCTCCCACATAACATGGTTGAAGAGCATATACTGCTCTTGTGGAGGACTTGAATTCGGTTTCTAACACCCGCATTGGGTAGCTCACAACTGCCTGTAACTCAGATATGTGTGCACATAACTACACATATACATATAATTAAACATATAATAAAAAAGAAAAAGAAATGGGAAGCTGGGGATGTAGCTCAGTTGGTAGAATGTTCAATTTACACACAGAGCCCTAAATTCAATCCCCAACACAGCATAAAACTGTGTAACTCCAGTAGGAGATGGAGGAAGAAAAGTCATGAGTTCAAGGCCAGCTTTGTCTACTTAACAAGTTGGAGAATAGCCCAGGCTACGTGAGACCCTACTTGAGAGGGAAAGGGTCACAAGTCCCCATGTGAGGCACCCGAGGATCCTGTTTGTGCCCTCAGCAGGTAGACAGAAGGAACCCCCAACTGACAAGCCCCCAAATGGACCCAGAGCAAAAACCTGCAGGCTAAACCCCTGCCTCAGGCTCTCGCCATCAGCTCCAACGCATCGCCTGGCAGCTCCTGGACAATGCCTCAAACGGTGACTGACCTGAGAGGGATACCTTTGGCCCTGACTATTGGCAAGCTGGTGCTAGGTGAGGAAAAGGTAAACCCTTGCCTTCCTGGAGGATTTCTGGCAGGCACTCTATGTCTTCGCCACACCACCGGTTTCAGTGGGGGAGTCTAGGCCAGTGCTCTGCCCAGAAACCACACCCCCAGACTCTCCTTTTATTTATTTTTGAAACAGAGTCTCACTAAGTTACCCGGAGTAGCTTGGCACTCCCTCTGTAGCCCACACTGGTCTAGTACTCCGGATCCACTTGCCTCAGCCTCTCCCGTGCTGTGATTCCAGTCTGTGCCCATGTGCCATCGTGTCTGGTTCCAGCCTATTATCTTAATATTAGGTATATATGAAGACAAGGATGGAATTCAGACAGCTGACAGGCTAACTAAGCAAGTACTTTGGCACTGAGTTCTCCCCCAACCCCACCCCCTTTTTTTTTTGAAGGTTTCTTTTATTTTTTGAAATAGAGTCTCACTACGTAGTCCTAGCTGGCCTGGAACCCACTAGCGAACCAGTTTGGCCTTGAACTCACGACCTGAGACTGTCTCCCAAACGCTCAGATTAAAGGCATGCACCACCAAGTCTGGCACGGCCAATATTATTTTAATTATGTTTATGTGTGCGCTTTTGTGTAGGCATGTGTACTCGAGTGGGGCCACTCAGGTATTCTGCTTGAGCAGCAAACATTGGGGTTTGTTTTTTAAATATTTATTTATTATGTATATAGTGTTCTGTCTGTGTGTATGTCTGCAGGCCAGAAAAGGGCACCAGACCTCATTACAGATGGTTGTGAGCCACCATGTGGTTGCCGGGAATTGAACTCAGGACCTTTGGAAGAATAGGCAATGCTCTTAACCACTGAGCCATCTCTTCAGCCCCAGCAGCAAACATTGTTAACCACTGGTTCTTCCCTACAGCCATCACCTCCTTTAATGGGATGTTTTCCAGTCCCTGAATGGCTATTTAAAGCTGGCATAGTGGCACAGGTCTTTCATCCCAGCACTGGGAGGACAGAGGCAGGTGGATCTCTGTGAGTTCAAGGCCAGCCTGGTCTACACAGTGAGTTTCAGGGCTACATAGTGAAACTGTCTCAAAATACATTAGAATCTGTTTTCAAGGAATTTGGAATAATATGAGAAACACTCATGTCTTTGAACCTCATTTAAAACCCTGGACAAAACATTGTGGATTCAGCATATCATTAACCCTGTGTGCTCCTGCTATAGTGGTCTTGGTAGCGGGTGTCCGTGGGAGTTTTCGATTTCTACTACACCACCCGCCTTTCGGTGTCTCCTCGCAATAGGCATTAAAGAAACTTAAAGTCCAAACACCACTGTGTGGAGACTCTGGTTTGAATGAAGATGGTAGCCTCTGCTTATTGGACCTGAGGTACCCGGCCTTACAGCTGAGACCTCGGCATCAGAGTGGGCGTGGCGTCGCTATGGAGACATCTGCTGAGGGGGGCCACCACCGGGCTGTTCCAGACAGTGGACTTGGCTGGTTCCGGATTCTTCCTGCCGCGGAGGAAGCCTATCTATCTCTGCCTGTGGTTGGTACAGCTGACGGAGGAAGGGTAAGTTGACATCATGAAAAGGACGTAGGGCTCTGCAATCCGCTGACGGGAGCCAGACTTCTGAGGTCCTGGGAGCTTTTCCCTGCAGCCTTCTGGATTTCCTGAGAGAACTCCTTCTGTAAATAAAACTGAGCAGATTCAGCTTCTTGAGATAAGGTCTCATTTAGGTAGCCCAGGCTGACCTTAAACTCTCCAGCCTGCAGGCTGAGCCTCCCGAGGGTTGGAATGACAGACACGCTGGCTGACGTACCCAGTGCTCTGTGAGCTCTTTGCCTGGGGACACAGGGATCTGTATGCTGTCGGCTCCCTCCAGCCCTGTCCTAGGAGCAGTACCAACTCTAAGGGGACATCTGTGTAAAGGTTGTTTTTTAAATAATGTGTATGTGTCTGCACCTGGGCGCAGTTTCTTTTGAGTCAGAAAAGAGAACAGGTTTCGCTGAAGCCCGAGCTGCAGGCCTCTGTGAGCTACCTACCCAGTCTTGGTTGCTGGGAACCGAACTGAGAGAAGCAAGCACTCTTAACCACGGACCTAATTTCTCCAGCCCTGTAAAGGAGCATCTCTTTTGAGATTTTTGGGCCCTACTGGGAATTCACGGCACTAGGATCCTTCTGTTTCCTCCCAGAACACAGCACTAGAGGCAGATGGACAGATGGGAGGCAGATGGACAAGATGGAATGTCACCAGTTCGTGCCTCTCACTAAGAAACACCGTTAGAGCTGAGTGTGGTGATGCATTCCTGTGGTCCCAAGTACTCAAGAAACTGAGGCAGGAGCATCACTGTGATGAGTTTAGGTCTAGCCTGGACTACATTTCATATATGCTAGGTAAGACACCAGTGCCGTTACCCTCTGTATTACTTTTCTATCGCTGTGATAAAAACATCATGACCAAGGCAGCTTAGGAAAAGGAGGGATTATTTGTCTTACTGTCCTGGAGTGGAGAGTCTCTCATAGGGGACGGGAGGGCTACGCAGCAAATGGTAGACACAGCAGAAGTTGAAGGCTCACCTCTTGAACCACAGGCACAAGGCAGAGGCGGTAAACTCAAAGTGGCCAGCCTCTTTAAATTCTCCAAGGCTCACCTCCAGGAGCACCCCTCTCCCAACAAGGCCACACCTCCTAAATCTCCCAGCAGCTGTAACTGGGGACTCAGTATTCAAACATCTGAGCCTGTTGGGGGGCCTTCCTCCCTGAAAGGATAAAAACAGCAGAAGGGTACCTACGGAGGGCTCTGCCAAGCTATGCCCCTCAGAGAACACACACATACAGCAACGTTAGTGCAGAAGGTTTATGGGGGGGCGAGGTGAATGAGGGAAAGGTTGTCGCGGAGTGGGGACGTGGGGGGGGCAGTTAGACTGAGAGAATAGGCAAAAGAGAGAAGCAGGGGCTGGAGAGATGGCTCAGAGGTTAAGAGCATTGCCTGCTCTTCCAGAGGTCCTGAGTTCAATTCCCAGCAACCACATGGTGGCTCACAGCCATCTGTAATGAGATCTGGTGCTCTCTTCTGGCCTGCAGGCATACAGACAGAACACTGTATACATAATAAATAAATAAATCTTTTAAAAGAGAGAGAGAAGCGGGAGAGGGGACTGTGGCACAGGCCCCTTTAAGAGTGTTTTATGGCTGATGAAGGAAAGGCACGCGGAGGCAGGTGACTGGCATAACTGCCTCAGCGGCTGAGGCCATCTGAGTGTCCCCTTAACAGAAAGGACATGTGGCAAGAGGTAGGACCACCGCCTACGTTTGGGATAATAGAGTCCCTTGTAAATCAAGTGAACTTAGCTGTCTAGGAGATTCTCAGTTCTGTGCATTTGGCAGCAGCAGGGGAAATATATTCAAGGTTGACCCTTGTCCCTGGAACTGGGGAGCCAGCATCCAGATAAGTTCCTCTGGTTCAGAAGCCCACAGGGTGGTGGCTGAAAAGTCCAAGGAAGGAAAGACCAGCAAGGAAAGAAGCAACTTCTACAACAGGATGGGTTTGAGCCGAGAAAAATGTTGGGAAGGGAGGTCTGCGATTACAGAGTTGGGGGGATGGGGGGGGCCCAAAAGCTTCTGCTGCTGGGAGTGATCAGGGGTCAAAGAGTCATGAGCAGTGACTGGAGATGCCGGATGATCACAAACATCGTCAAGGGTCAGCCATTATGAGGGGTGCAAGGGATAACGGACATCAAAAAAATAAGCCTAGAATTCTGATTGCTGTGGTTTAGGGGGAAACTGCCATTTAAGCAAAATGGAGGTTTTCAAAATGGAGTGCACATGGCTAACATCGATGATGTTTATTTCTTCAGGTCGGTAAATAGAGACGGGAGGTAGCTGTGGCTCAGGTTCCTTCCTGCTAGACTACGTTCTCCTCCGAGGGCTGCTGGGGAAGTCTCTTGTATTGGGAATCTCGAAGCAGAAGAATCTTGTCCACGTGCCCTTTGGTAGTGTTCTGAATGAAAGAACTCATTCGCTGGGATACAAAATGAGTCAGGCAGTTAAGAAGACAAGGCCCGAAAATGAGCAGAAAGAGGAGAAAGAAAATGGGTCCCAAGAGGGATGACAACCACGAGGGCAGCCAGTATCCCAACCCCAGCCCCTGGATCCAAGAGTTGGAGCTTGGGCGGAATTCAGATGCTCTTTCTCCGAGTTTCCTGGCTGCATCCCGGACTACTCCAGACTGGTTTACATAGAAGCAGCACTCTTCCTGCAGGAAGAGGCAGGTGCCCCCTTTCTCGGCCATAATGAGGTCTAGAGCTCTCCGGTTTTGGAGGACGATGCCCGCCAGGGAGTCTATTTGGTCTTGGAGGGTAATAATGGAGGTGGCTATTTCATCTAGGCTGTCTGAGAGAGCCTTCGAAAGCTGTTGGAAATAGATGGTTGAAGTGGTGATGCCAGCGATGCTTAACCCGAGGGCGGAAGTGATGCCCAGGCCCACAAGAAGAGGGAGGAGGTGAACGGCTCTCTTCCCGCGAGAAGTGGAGACCGAGGAGGGAATTGTAGCGAAAAGGGGGACGGTTATGGTTTGGTTACTGGGAAGGAGTTCAATGTTTGGGTATTGAAAGACAAGGGTACAGACACCCGACCAATTGGCCGGAAGACAGACATACGTGGAGCTTCCGCAGAGGAAGAAGACGCCGGAGGAGTTGAGACAAAAGGAGTACGTTAAGGAGAGAAGATGTGAAAAGATGTTTGGGGTGAAGTCCCCATTTTCCTGGACGGTGGGTTCATATTCCCAGATTGAATATTGTCCAGAGAGGGCTGCCCCCATGAGGGGCTGGTACTGAAAGAGTGGATAGGGATCTTTGTGTCCCTGGAGTTTAATCTTGAAGTATGTGGTGTCCACAGACAGGGTGACGGAGTCATTTCTGTCGGCTGGTTCAAACAGCGTGAGGTTGTAGCAGGTGCTAGATGGACGGGAAGGACAGTGCCTCCAGGGAGTGGTTGGGTAGGTGTGACAATGGATGTCATTGACCGGGCAAGGGTAGTAAGGCTGCCCTGCGGTTAGGGAAGGGGGTCCTGAAAAGCGTAAGGGGTTTCTCCACTTAGAGCCTGGCATAGTGGTTAGTTCGGCAAACGCATAGCTGGTGGACAGATCAATGGATTGGTGGTCTGCCGAGGGCAAAAGACGGAAGGTGTGGTTGCAGAGGGAGGCAGAGAGATTGCCCACGAAGGTGGCATATTTTGAATCCTTGAAGAAACGGGATACACAGAGAGGGGCCTGGGAGGCGAGAAGGGTCTGTGCAGAGAGCGGCCCCCATATGGGGCGCTGGGCGGATTCATAGATGCGATCGTCAGTATATTTCACAGAGGTGAGTCGGGAAAGTAGCGGGAGTATGCCTGTTAAGCTCGTGAGCTGAAGAAGAGCAATGGCCCGCCGGTCGGGATTGGCAAACGAGTAATGCGCAGTTAAAGGTTGGAAATTCAGGAGGCGTTTTTCAAGGTCGGCGATAGGATAAGGGCCGGAGAGGGTCCGGGTCGAGAATGTAATATGAAGTTTCATGGGTGAGTCGATCCAAGTTGTTAGTGGGGCTGGGACGGCTAGAGAGCGCTGGGTTTGGATGGGCAAACAGACCCAGCAGTCAGAAGAGAAGGAGGAGTTGGTGTCCTTGAGGAAGCGGTGGGCGAGGTTTATGAGCGGCATCCAACTCTCAGAACAGGCAGAGGGGTAAGAAACGAGGAGACAGAGAACCCAAGGGCGGATCATGGCTCTTCGGGGTAGGCTGGCGGTGGTGGCAGACAGACACAGGGAAGTGGTCCTGAGAACTCTGAGGTCCAGTCACTTGGTCCAGGAGTGACCGAGGAGTCAGGGAATCCCCGGGTTGTACCGGTTATCCTTACGGAGACCGGACCTGTGAGAGCAGAAACACAAACAGGTGGAGGGTCCCAGAAGGGTTGGAAGTCTTAGAATCAGGGGCTAGAGCCGCTTTTGAGCTTAGATGTAGCCAGTGACAGATTCCCTTTACCTTGGCTTCTGTCACAAGCCCTGAGTGTGGCCTTGGGCCACGGTGGTGGCCACGGTGGATAGCTACCACTGCCGGTGGCCTGTGACGTGAGAGAGCCCCTCTCTTGCCAGATGAAGGCAGAAGGATGTGGTGTGTGTATTTAGAGTCAGCGTAGACACCAATCTTTTCTTTTTGTGCTAGTGTCGGGGCCCTGGTAAAGGGCGATGGCCTCTGCCTGCCTTGAGGCAGTGTTGGGGTGGGGGTGGAGCCCTGAGGTAGTGTTGCCTGTGACAGTGGCATAGCCTTAAAGAGCACCCATCAATATACCAGTTAGGGGGTCTAAGCACTGGGAACTTAGGGTTGGGGTTAGGGTTAGAAAGTAGCAGCAAGTCAGGGGATCCATAAAAGAATGGGAGTCGTTTGTAGGGCTAAAGTCTACAGGAAGTAGAGTGGGTGGACTAAGCGTTTTAGAGCATTGAAAGGTGATTAAAGGGTTTTGTATACACTGTGTATGTAAGCGGGGGGGGGTGTGGCATGGGGAATGGGGGGTGCATGTCTTTAATCCTAGCACTTGGGAGGCAGAGGCAGGCCAATCTCTGTGAATTCGAGGCCAGCCTGGTCTATGAGTTCAGGACAGTCAGGGCTACACAGAGAAGCCCTGTCTTGAAAAACCAAAAATAAATTAAACAAAACAAACAGCAGTATATTTATCTGTTAAATGCAGGAGAGAGAGAGAGAGAGAGAGAGAGAGAGAGAGAGAGAGGAGTCAAGTCACATATGAGCTCAAGGAGATTGTGGGAGGTGGAGATAGTAATAGATTGGTAGAGTGTTAATATGAGGGCTTCTGTTGTTAAAGGGGGGGCACCCAAGGAAGAAGGCCAGCCCTGAACCATCACTTAGACAGATGGTAGTAACGGCACTGGCCGAGGAGACCTAAGGTTGCTAAGGATGAAGGTACAAAGGCAGGTTTGGAGGGCTCTGGATGCCCTCAGGCAGGAGCAGTTGTGAGGGTCTCTGAGCCTAAAGAATGAGCTTGAGTAGGCTGTGGGGCTCCAGAGGTTCTGTGAAAGGGCCACCAGCAGCCTGGCTTACTAAGAACCCGAAGTTGGAGATCCAGATACAAAAATACCCCGCTAGGCCCAGAAAGAAGAGAAAGTTTTCATTTAGCTTGGGGGTGGGGGAATAGGTGCCTTTGTTTAAATCTTTGCAGCTTTGGGGTACCCCAAGGGAAGAGGAGGCTTGAAGGAAGTCAAGGTATGTGACCTGGGAAGAGGTTACCTGAGCTTTAGAGGGGCTCAGCATCCCTGGGCAGCCAGAAGAGTGGAGAGGATAGAATATTGTACACACGGCTCATTTGAAGGCGCTTGGAGTGAGGTGGAGGCTTCGAAGGTCAGGGCCAGAGCCCAGCTGAAAATATGAGGACCATCTCAAAATCCCTTGGAAAGAGTGTCCATATCTAGTGGGTAGACATTTGGGGGCCAGGGGCTCCCCAGGTCAATGTATAAAGGTTAAGAGCTTTTGCCGCAGAGGACCCAGGTTCAGTTTTTAGCACCCCTGTGGTGGCTTACAACCCTCGGTAACTCTAGTTGCCAGGGAATTCTGACCTCCTCGGGCACCAGCCATACACATACATACATGCAGGCGAGGCACTCGTGCACATAAAACAAAATACAAAATCTTTTTAAAATAATAGCCCGGGCAGCTGGAGAGATGGCTCAGAGGTAAAGAACATTGGCTACTCTTCCAGAGGTCCTGAGTTCAATTCCCAGCAACCACATGGTGTCTCACAACCATCTGTAATAAGATCTGCTGCCCTCTTCTGTACTGTAGGATACATGCAGGAAGAATCCTGTATACATAATAAATAAAATTCTTTTAAAAAAATAAAAAATAATAATAATAGCCCGGCAGTGGTGGCGCACGCCTTTAATCCCAGCACTCGGGAGGCAGAGGCAGGCGGATCTCTGTGAGTTCGAGGCCAGCCTAGTCTACAAGAGCTAGCTCCAGGACAGGCTCCAAAGCTACAGAGAAACCCTGACTGAAAACAAACAAACAGAGGAGTAGGACTTCTCTAAGTGTCTTCAGGAGGGGTCAGGTCTGGGTGACAAAGTAACAGGAATGACAATAGTGGTGTAGAACTCATCTAGAGTGCCACCTCCCAAGAGGGGAGTTGGGCAACCAGGAGTGGCCGGGAAAGAATGAGGAAAAGAATGCCCAAGCAGTCTGCAGTACCGATCTGGGTTGATTAGGAGGGAGGGAACTGATGTTGGGGTGCAGCCAATTCTGGTAAAACTGAATAAGCAGCCCCCCAATCCAATAAACATGATGTAATCTTACCAGCTATTCACAGGTTACCTAGGGTTCAGCTGGAGGCAACGACCCCGATCCCAGAAGTAGTAATCAATCCCTAATAGCTTGCCAAGCTGGAGTTCGGGCTCAGATGGATTATTGGGACCTGATATAGAAAGAAGCAGGGTTCTGGGCAACTAGAGCTAAATGCAATCTGGCTTGGAGTGTCTTTTCTCCCAACATGGGGGGCAGGGCAAAGTGGCAGGCACAAACTGGGGCAGGCTCTCAGAGGGGGGTAAGAGTCAGTCTCCAATCTTCGAAGCTTCCAATGCCCTCACCCCCAACTCCCTGTAGGAGCCACCCAAGGTCAGAGGCAATGAGCAACATCTACAACCAGAGAGTTGGCTGTTCACAGAGTAGGGGTAGTTATGGGGGGATGGGGGTGGGAGGAAGGCATGGAGGGATCAAAGTCTTCTGATTCCAGGAGTGGAGGGGAAAGTAGTAAGAGAAAGAGGTATGTATGTCATAGTGGGCATAGTGGCACACACCTTTAACCTGCCCTTGGGAGGCAGAAGCAGGCAGCTCTCTGTGAGTTCCAGGCCAGCTGGGTCTCCCTAGTGAGCTCCAGATTCAAGGATACACGGTGAGACCCTGTTTCAAAAAGCAAAACAGAATGTCAGGTGATCATAAGCACCTCTTATGACCAGCTATCCTCAGCTGTTTGCAGGGTGTTGGGAGGAGTCTAGGAGAGCAAGCCTGAAGTAATGTAGGTTAGTGTAGTTTTGGGAAACTATCATTAATTCACCACAATGGAGAAAAACTTCAAGACGGCATGGCCATAGCAGGCAGCAGTGACCCTGGTCCGTCTTCATTGCGAGAATTCTTGCCAAGCATAGTGATTCACTGGGAGGCAGAGGCAGGCAGATCTCTGTAAATTCGAGGCCAGCCTGGTTTACATAGCGAGCTTCAAGCCTGCTGGACTACATAGTGAGACCCTGTCTCAAACAAAGCAAAACCAAAAGGATTGTGTCCCTAAGGCATAAACAACATCTCCTCACTCTTCATAAGATCCCAATGACAGAGCTGGAAAGTTAACTCAGTGGTTAAAAGCAAGAACTTCTTGTTCTTACAAAGGACCCAGCACCCACCTCCACACATACATTTGGTGCATAGACATACATGCGCATAAAACAATAAAAGTAAATCTTTAAAAAAAAATCCCAATGACCAGCCAAAGTATGATTCCACCAAAGGTGGCCTTGGGGGAACCAGGCAGTTTATTAGGCTTACCTACAGGCCTTGGGGGAGCCAGGCAGTTTATTAGGCTTACCTACAGAGTGTGGGTGACCCCAAGGCAGCTGCACTGTGAAGTCTTCGTCCAGCATGGATGATGGCTTCCAAGACGTGGCACTGGGCTTCTTCAGCTAATTCTCCTCAGTTTATATACTCTCCCACGTCCTTAGACAACACCTCTGGGCTATATATAATTAGAGCATAGTTCTGTGAAAGGAATGGCTGGAATCTCAGGTAAGGGTCCAGTGGCCCTCCCCACCCTCTCCTTCTAAAAGGCAATGCGAAGAGTCAGCAGGACCAGCCGTGATGGACAGATGAGAACAGGAGTTTGCTTAACAAGCTGAACCTTCTGCTAGGCTGATCAACTGTTTGGGACCTTCCAGGTTTGTGGTGAGGTGGGGATGTTGCAGGCCAGAGCTTAATTAAAATTTACCTTGGGCTATCTTTAGCCCTCCTTTTTTTAGACATTCCTTCCCCTGCTCTAAGCCTGATCTAAAATTCTTGTGACTATCAGGTGAGACGTTCTTTAAATGTATTAGCTTAGCAGGCCACTACCTTGCTCAACCCAAAAGCTAAGGGTGACTTCAGATAGCATTAGGAGAAATTCCCCAGCTTTGCTGTAATCTGCCTCTCTGATGTTTCCACCAACGTAATTGAAAAAAAAGTGTATTAGAGCTGGAGAGATGGCTATGCAGTTAAGAGCACTCACCGTCAGGTAGGAGGTAGGAGGATCTCTGTGAGTTCTAGGCCAGCATGGTCTACAGAGTGAGTTCCAGGACAGCCAAGGCTACACGGAGAAATGCTGTCTCAGAAAACAAGACCAAGAACAACAGCAAAAAGAGCACTCACTGTTCTTGCAGAGGAACCAGGTTTGGTTCCCAGAATCCACATGGTGACTCACTTAACTGCCCTTAACTCCAGTCCTGGGGAAATCTGATGTCCTCTTCTGCTGTCTGTGGGCACCAGACACACACTTGGTGCACATGCATACATGCAGGCAAACCTCAAACACATAAAATAAAAAATCCTTAATGAAAAAAGAAGTGTTTTGATTTATGGCTTTCTTTGCTTTGTTCCTATAGAAACTTAATGAAATTGATGGCTCACTGAAAGACAGAATTTTGAGTACCCTAAATCTGTGTCCTCAGGCTGTGGTCACTCATATTTGGCTTCAGAATGA